TCTCCTTCACTTTCCTCTTCTCTTCTCCTCCTTATTCAGTTATTTGTCTCAGAAATTTCCGAATGTTTAGGTGGTGGTGTTGATAAATTTAATGGTTTTTAAGGTCGAATTCTACCATATTGTGGGTTTGATTTTATGGCAAATTTTGGGTTTGATTAATTTATTTTCGTGTTATATTTGGGTAAATTTGTGGTTTGATTTTCATTAATTTTTAGGTTTGATTTTCGAGATGAAATTGTTTGATTTTTGTTATTTTTGGATATGATTTGTTGATTTTTTGGGTTTAATTTTATTGGAATTTCATGTTTGTATTCTTGTAAATTTTGTTAAGGGGTGGCTTTTGTGGTGTCTTAATGTGGTTTTTGCGGTAAATGGGTGAGATTCTAGGGTGGGCAGTGGTGGTAGGAAAAGGTGGATTCAAATGGTGACTCACATGTACAGCAATCCTGGATCCGCCACTGATCAACTATGAACATCACTTAATCTAGCCTACGAGGATCCCAGAAAACAATAGCTCCACCAAGCATACCTCCACCCACATCATAGCGCCAAGACATAGTTGTTCCTAGTTTTGCTAGTATCCTTTCACAGTTGTTGGATGTTGCACCAACCTATGTTACTATCATCATGATTGGCTTATGGGTTGCAACAATTTGGTTAAAGTGCTCGACAAAAGAAGGTCGCATGATCCTACGACCATTGCAAAGCACAACACTATATCCAATCTCCACTTGTCTCTTGTTATCTTAACCTTCGGTTGAAGGCGGACAACTTGGTAAGGGGTGGTCAAGTCGTCTTCGATGAACTAGTCCCTAAACAACGAAAAATTAATCCCCGTGATAGGAGACCTCACCTACAAATATGTTACGTAAAATTTGATGAAATTATGTAATTGGTACCCTGGGAATTGCAATTTCGCGACAAGGACTATTATGTTCTGGCTAGATGATCATTATTAACGTCATGAAGTTAAGTTATCAACACCCTAATTATCAGCATTACCTTACCATTTCTTACCTTCACAAAAATTAGTTATCTTAATTAAAAACTTTTGCACTTGAGGTCTAAAAATTCACATTATTTTATATTAGTTCTAATACAATGCAGCGTAAGACCAAGTAAACATTACCTAAAACGATACTTTATGACTCATAATAAGCAACATACTAGTATTATAATATTTTAGATATCGCATCAAAAGATAAATAAAACAAAAAACCAAGATTCTTCCTTTTATAGGAGACCAAATGCAGTGAAAGTAGAAATAAAGCATGTAATTAGGAATAGTGCACCATGAAGTCATTTGCTTCCATGCATATATAAAGCCACTACATGTGCAACTTTGTAAAGAGTTAGGATAGTTTGTTTTCCTAATGAACCCTTCATACTTCTTCACTACCTTTTTAAATTATAATGTTTCATATTTTCAAGGAAAAATTGTCAGGAACTACATGCTTAATAGGGGTAGTTGAAAACAACTACCCACTGAAAAATTTTATCAAAAAAACTACCCTTAAATTTAAAAATTTAGAGTAGCACTACCCATTTGCATTATCCGGTGAGAAAGTTCGGCGTGTAGGGCCCTCTTTTTCAATTTTTCTTCTAAAAATTCCTAATTAAAGAAGTGAAAACAAGTAGAGTATGCAATTCATAGGTAATTCTTTTCTTTTAATCCATTAATTATGAATTTTGATGTTAGGCTGTAACGATTAGAAAAATTCAGGATCTTAGAAATTGGGGATATTTTAAAATCGGTTGAATTTGTTGCTTTTAATTCAAATTAGTTATCTTAGGATTACGAATTAAGGTCCAATTTGTCATTGCATTGTATCTTTTCAGAGAAAATTGAAAAAGTGGGCCCATGCGCCGGACATTCTCGTCGGAAAATGCAAATGGGTAGTGCTACTCAAACTTTTTAAATTTAGGGGGTAGTTTTTTTTATAAAAGTTTATAGTGGGTAGTTGTTTCCAAATACCCCTATTAAGCATGTAGTTCCTGGCAAATTTTCCTATTTTCAACTATATTTATTTTTCCAGTTCATTACCTTTGCTTTATGAAATAGTTAAAACAACATACTCCCTCCGTAACTTTTTACTCGCAACAATTACTATTTTTAGCCGTAACACATTACTTGAAACAAAGAAAATTATTTCCTTTTATGGTATGTTTTTAATGGTGAAATGACTATTTTACCCTTAGTTATTTCTGAATTTTTTTTAATCCCTAAACACTACTTATCTAACTTATAATCAAATACACTTAACCTAATCTAATCTAACCATTCCCACCAAAAATTACCCACCCCTTTCTGATTTCATTAGAAATCATTCAACTCCCCAACTCCTCAACTACCAGAATTGAATGAAGATAAATCAATTCTCCTCGTTGTTGGTGCCCAGACTCTCCTTATTCTGGAGAATTCTCCAGATGAACATTATAAACCCTAGATCTACTCTATTTCCCTCCTTTCTCTCTCATCTTCGTCCTCTGTTCTCTCTCTTCACTATCGTGAGTGAAACCCTAGTTTTCTCTCTGTTGTCTCTGTTTAATTTTCTGTGAAAATGAGTTCCAAAAAAGAAAAGGAAGAGTCCGAAATTCGTCCAAAAAAGGGTGAGGAATCCACTATGTACATCGCTCGTAGGGGATCTGGTGTTATGAAACCAGTTCGTCGCTGTTCTTTTTTGTTTTCTCGGTACTCTGGAGGCAAAATTGGGGCAAAATTGTATTTTTCCAGCGACGAGGAGGAAGTTCTAGAAGTAGATCCGGTGCAAACCGTCCCTGTTCCGGCGGAGGTGGTTGCTGAACTACCTCCTCCTGCTGTTGAAGTTGTCGGTGAGAAAACCTCGAAGGAAAGCCCAAAAAATGCTGCTCCGGACACCGTGGAGACGGCTGAGAAGGTTTCAGGCGACGGCGCGTCTCCACGGGGACAGAAGAGGCCTAGATCTGTCTGGAAGGACGACTACGGTGACTGGGATCCCTGCTACATGGCGTATTTGAGGGACAAGTATCCTCATGACTTCCCCCCAGATCTCTGAGCATGCAGCGTAACTATTACTAAACCCTAATTTTATGAATTTTGCCTAAATATGAGTCCCTTTGACTGATTTTTGGTTGTGATTTTCATTCCGTGTTTGATATCGTTGGATAAAACTGTTAATTTTTGGTTTTTGTGTAAAAAATAAACAATTGTGGCTGTTTTGTCTTGTAATTATGTTGGGTATGGTTGTTGGTTGTACTTCTTGACTTGAATTTGTTGATTTCGTATTGCCATTGTTGGTGATTGTGGTTATAAATTGGAGGTGTTGCCTCCTGTGCTTTTGCTGGTTGAAATTGTTGGTTTGGGTAAGGGGAATTTGTTGTTGTTGTTTTATAAGTGGGCACTTGACTTGAATTCATTGCCTGCCTGTTGTTTTGTTATATTGTGAGCATGAATTTTGGTTGTGATTTTAAGTTGGGATTTCTTTGGTTTTTTGTTACTGCCTCTGAGTTGCTTAGCTTGTGTGGTTTTATTTACAGCATGGTATATGAATGGGCTGTTGTGGGTTGGTTATTGTTGATATGAGTCTATAGTGATGCAACTTGGAGATGTTTTGATGTATGGTTGATGACCATAACAGTGGTGATTTAGCCTTTGGAATACTCTGGTTTGATGTGTGTTGATGTTGTTGCCTATGAGTCCACTGTTTCAGTGAGTCCCTTTCATTGGTCATTTGTGATGATGCATTGAGTCCCTCTACCCACATTGCATCATAGTTGTAGGGTTTTCTAAATGATGAAGGGACTCTTATGACTTAAGCCCATTATTTTAGAGAGCTCCAACATCTTCTAACAGAGGATGTTGTTGAGGTGCCTGTTAATGGTGGCTAATATGGTTAAACCAATCCCATCTGATGGAAAAAAGAGACAATAACTTTGCCATACTTTAAACACAATGTCTACTTGTTAATGCTATGATTTCATTTGCCCAAAAAATGGTAGATTGTACATAATTCCATTTCAATAATAACTACCCACTAAGACTGCCTACCTACTCTATTTAACAAAATACCTAACCATTACAAAACAAACAAAAACTTAGTTTTCATGTTAATGGTTATGTGTGGCAGCCTTTGGTCTTCTGACTTGGTTGATGTTGAGTTCTTCATTTACAAAAAATTACTTGTTGTCTTGTTCATTTACAAAAAGTTGCATGTTCTTACTTGCTTATGTGAACCTCAATCTGCATCTACTTCCATTTCTTCACTTTCTGGTTGAGGTCCTGTGGTTGGAACAAAAAGGGTGTTGAGATACTGCACTGTGTCTGCAATTAGTGTCATGTCTACCTTCAAAATGTCCTCCAAAGTCCCTTGTCTGTCTTGCCTTGCTTTTCCCATATGTGGTGGATTGAAGTTGTTCCCACCTTATTTTTCCAACACCTTAATCATGCAAGCCTGTAGTGTGATCCAAGTGTACCTGTTTAGTGTTAGATCAAACAACTCAAATGCCTCTGCCACTTTCTCAATTAGCTCATCAATATTTGTTGGGAATGACTGGTATTGTATGGACTAAATTGCCTTGAACAAACCTAGGTCCAACACATTAAGGTCTGGTGATTGGGCAGGTTGGAAAACAAATTGAATGTTAAACCCATTAGCTTGTGTTGCTGCCAAAAACTCTTCATTTGTTGGTACTTGATGTGGCCTAGCATTATCCCATTGTATGATTATATTCTTTGATAATTGTGCTGGCCATTGTGCATGAATTGTTGGGATGATTTTGTCTAAAATCATATGCCTGATAGCTTCTCTGTTCACATTCTGAATTGCTTTAGTCTCCATTGTGCCTACTTCTCTGTTTTTGCTTCTCTTTTTTGCCCTCTCATGTTTCACAAAAGGGAACAAACCATACTTCCCTGAGTGTATAAGAGTCCCATCTGCAGCATAAAGTGGTTTGCCCACCATTCCCATGAACATTGCCTTTATCTTAAACCTTTTAGACTGTTGTGCTCTGTATGGGACCTCTTAATTTGGGGTGAGATAGATTGTCTCTGGGTTTAGATAGAACCACTTCTCATCAATGTGTATGTGATGTTGCATATCCATAATTGTAGGGTCCCCCTCACTTGGAATTGGATGAATGTGTTGCAGTACCCACTTTAGCCTTGCAACTTTGTGATTTTTCGATAATGCTGGGTGATTAGTTGCTGACACTGCCCTAAGTCTGCCCCTTTTCTTCAACCTGTGTATCACCATATGATTGACATGTAGAGCAGCACCATAGCTTCTGTTTGTGGTTCTCTTGTAAAGTGGCACAGACATAAGCCACTCATCAGAGTATTCAAATGGATTGCGACCAGTTTTCCCTAACTTTTTGGTTCTGACATCCACTGCTTCTCCCAGTTGCATGTGTTTTTTAATTTCTTTTAGCCACCTACTTGTAGTAGATTTGTGTACATGATGTTTCTTTGCCAATGAGGTCAGCATTCCTCTTGGCAGTGTGTCACCTACCATATTAAGCAGAATATCATCAACATTCTGCCTTTTCTCTTCAATGTTTAATTCTCTGCTTTGCCTCACAAATAATTGTTGCTGATTTTGATGCTCTGCATCTGTTTCTAATTCTGCGGATGAGATGTCTTCATTTTGTTGCTGGTGATTTGGCTCTTGAGTTTCTGACCCTGATGAACTGGAATTCTCTTCCATCACCATGTCCTGCTCCATGAGCAGTTGATTTATGTTGAAAAAATCATCCAACATTTCTGCCATGAGTCCCTTATTTTTTTTTTCAGATTTGATGGTAGGTGATGAAGTGGAGGTGACTTGCCTTTTTTTGGGAACTTTCAGTGGATCCTAATTCGTGTACAAATTCACTAATGTTGCTACTACTAACACAGCAATTAGGAATTATGACTAATTTAAGATTATGGTTTTTGTAATTTTCAAACAATTGGTGTATTTCTGGGTTGTATCCTCTAACTTCTGTTTTTGATGAATTCTAATTCCCCCTCCCCCAAAACCCTTCTGTGTTTGAATGTATGAGGGTGGTGAATGAAACAGGTACTCCTTTTTATAAGGAGCTTTTGATTGGTAAAATTGTTGCTTTTGCTGCATTTTGAAATGTTTTTGAATTGGTTTTAAAATTTCAGGATTTTTTGGGAGGAAAATGAAAATTTTGGAGGCTAAAAAAATTGCCTCCAAAAAATACCCCACCCTTTACGAGAATAAGAGAGGGAAAAAAACAACAAGGCCTCATGGCCTCCACGAAAAAAGGGACCACCTTTTTTTCCCTCCCTTTTTTACTCTCCTAATCTCATGCACTTTACTTTAATTTACCCCCTTAAAACTTTTGTCTAGGAGTCCGTTCTTCCCATGTTTGTTGGGAGTAAAAAGTTACGGAGGGAGTATTACAATTACAATATATCAAATGAAAGGACGTATCAAATCAAAGGACGCAGTAAATAAATGGGAAGTAGAAGTTTCCAACAACCAAAAAAGCCCACACGTATTGTTATTGATTCATAAGTATTGTAATTTCATATGAAAATTACTATATCACGCCTTTAATATAATCACAATAATCACAATAACGCTTTGCAGAAATTAATATAATCATCACTTTTATAAATCAATACAACTTGTTATTAGAAATTCAATTTTGCAGAATTTAAGCATAAATTGTTTAGGTTTCGATCTCCTCGTGTTACTTTAAACTGGAAAACCTTGGAACAAAATTAACTTGGACATTAATCATAAATAAAATTCAAAAACTTGGAACAAAAGTAAGTACCACATTTTAGTTAATTTTGAACAAAATCCAATGTCATTGAAATTAGCTCACGTCATTAGGCCACGTAATAAGACTACAATTAACAGCATAATACCGATTGAAGCAGACGTTTAATACTGCTCACTCGCAGTTGCAGCAAAGAACCGGTAAGGAACTTATTGAGTAGGTTCCATGGCGAGGGAATGGGTTCTGGTCTGGATGAACAACAGAGAAAAGAGGGTGGGAAGAACAGAAGAAATGAGGGAAATGGTTCTCAATGTGTTTGTTTGTTAGTTTGTGATCTTATAAAAATAGATAAGTTCATAGGCTTTAAACCTATGCACCTATTCAGCCAACTTTATGCAGTGTAGTCACATTACTAAGTTGAACACGCCAAATAGTACGATCTCCATATTTTTATACTATCCCCCTTTGTCCTACATGCATCATGTTTTCTAATTCTTTGTTAATGCAAATTAGTGTGATTTATTTACATAATTGAATCAATTATACATGTATTTTAAAATTCGTAACAACCTGTATGGTTCTTTGTTATTTCCGTAATTTACCAACACATTTCAAAATGTTTTGTTTATTATATACAAGCTCAAGTACCAGAATTAATTTAAAGAATCACATTACAAGTTAAGATAATCCAAAATATTTTGTTCATTACTTATTTCCTCGACTAACATAATTACTTTGTATTTTCGTATTTATTAAAATTTCCATCGGTATATAAAGCCTAAGATATTTTGAATATTTTACGTATTTTTAGTTATTTTTTTATATGAATCAATTACTTTAGTTGTTTCACATGTACTAGGGATATATAAAATAGTATGCTTGTTTCCCATGTACTATTTTATTGAATTGTCATTGTCAATAAGATATGCCTTTGAGGAAGTATGGCTTATAATTTGACTGTAAGTCATTTTAGGAGGACAACAAATATCAAAGACAAATGTCCCACCAGTAACAGATCCTTCTGTAAATAATTTTGGGAGGACAACAAAAATCAAAGACAAATTGGGGACCACCACTAAAAGATCCTTTTCCAGTGAATTAACCCTAAAAACCCTCTAAACCCTAAATGCCTAAACCCTAAATTTAATACCCTTTAAACCAAACCCCCTCCATACCCTTCAAACCATTAAATCCCTAAATTGCTCGTAAACCACTTAATCCTAAACCCGAATCCCTCATTGATAATCAACCATTAAAAAGCACCTTAATAATTTGTTTTCAATTAGCAATTGTACTATAATATTTTAACATACTCCTTATTTTATTAAAATATTTAATTTGTTGTGTACCTAATAAATCGGGTACATTTTTTCATTAGGTTGAAGGTGTATAGTAATATTAATTATTGGTAGGCAAAACAATCGGCTTTGTTATTAGGAAGATAAATATTGTGAATATATTTTGTGATTATCTTTAGGTTATCTTGGCCTTGCCCTCCAAGTATCCCACTCTATATATACTTTTGTATGTGGCCGTTTATATAAAGGAGAATACAGAGAATACTTTAAACCTAATTTAACATGGTATCAAGAGCCTTGTGAGATCCCCAAAAAAAAATTTTTTCCGATCATTATTTTTCATAAATTTTGTTCGTGACTGTGAGTTCTTTGACTGATTTTCATATATTATTTTTTTTTTACTTTCTTGCGTGAGATTAAGAGATGCAAGGGGGAGATGGAGGAAAATCGAAGGTCGACTTGACCTTTCACCTAGGTTCAAGTGACGGGCCAGGTAATGTCATCACTCCGATTCAATTACGGGGAGACAATTATGATGAATGGGCTAGAGCTGTGAGGACGGCTTTGAAGGCTAAGCGGAAGTTTGGCTTTATCGATGGCTCGGTTGCAAAGCCGAGTGCTTCTGAGAAATTTGAGGATTGGGTGGCTGTACATTCTATGTTGGTGTCTTGGTTATCTAATACCTTGGATCCAATTGTCCGGTCGACTCTCGGTGATTATGATGATGCGAAGTTCCTCTGGGATAATCTTCGTAATCGATTTTGTGTTGTGAGTGGAACTCGGGTCTGTCAATTGAAGATGGCCTTGACAGATTGCAAGCAAGGGATAACATAACTGATTTCTGTTTACTTTGGCAGGTTGTCAAAAATTTGGGATGAATTAACCACTTATGTTTCGGTGCCGGAGTGTAAGTGCGGGAAGTGCACATGTAACATTGTGCAGCAAGTTGAGAAATTGAGGCAAGATGATTTTATTCATCATTTTCTGATCGGCTTAGACTCTGCTTATGCGGCTTTAAGGGCTCAACTTCTAGCCCAAGATCCTTTGCCGACGGTAGACAAGGCATATCAACAGGCCATCCAGACTGAGCGCTTGCGGGGAGGGGATGTGACTGCTCCTTCTGATGATCGAAGTAATGTGGTGGCCTTCAAGTTGCAAGGGCAAAAGCCTCGTGGTGAAGGTAGTGATAAATTTTGTGCTCACTGTAACAGGGAAGGTCACGATGAGTCGGGTTGCTTTCAACTCCACGGCTTTCCGGATTGGTGGGGTGATCGTCCACGTGGTGGGCGTGGACCAGGTCGTGGTGGAGGCTCGGCTGGCCGCGGTGGAGGACGGACAGGTGGCAGGGGCAAGGGGGGTGGTGCGCCTCCTGCTCGAGCAAACAAGACTGGTGGGCAGCAGCTCTCGCAGCCTTCACAAGTTGCTGCCGCGAGTGCCTCAGACGGGGCAGCTCTTGCTGGAATTTCATCGGCCCAAATTCAGCAGTTACTCGATCACTTGAACTCCATTAAACCCAAGCTTCACGGTAAGCAAGATATGGGTTGGATTATTGACATCGGTGCCTCAAATCATGTGACTTGTGATGTTTCTTTATTGATGAATGCATCAAATGTGAGCCATTATCCGGTGGGATTGCCGGATGGAAATTGTGCAAATGCTTCTAAATTGGGATCGGTGACATTGCAAGGAGGCTTACTCCTTAAAAATGTTCTTTATGTGCCTCAATTAAATTGCAATTTAATTTCAACGACTCAATTATGTGATGAATCAAATTGTGTAATGCAATTTACTAATAAACTTTGTGTTATACAGGACCTAACAACGAGGATGGTGATTGGAGCGGGTGAACGAGTAGATGGACTTTACTATTTCCGGGGTGTTCCTACGGTGAAGACTTTGAAGATAAAGGTGGATGGGTCGACAAAGTTGTGGCATCAACGGTTAGGGCATCCTTCGGGAAAAGTACTTCAACAACTTCCGTTTGTGAGTCATAATCGTAGCAAATTTAATTTATGTGATGTATGCCCTAGGGCAAAACAACATAGGAGTAGTTTTCCTTTGAGTCGAAATAAAGCTAGTCGTATTTTCGAACTAGTCCATTTAGATTTATGGGGGCCTTACAAGACACCATCGTCTTGTGCTGCTCATTATTTCTTAACTATCGTAGATGATTTTTCTAGGAGTGTGTGGATTTATTTATTAAATAATAAAACGGAAGTTGAGTATATGTTTCATAATTTTGTTGCTATTGTTAGACGTCAATTTTCTCAAGAAATTAAAGTGGTTCGTAGTGATAATGGTACGGAATTCAATTTGTTGAAAGAGTATTTTTTTGACAATGGCATTTACTTTGAGACCTCATGTGTGGGCACACCTCAACAAAATGGGCGTGTCGAGAGAAAACATCAACATATTTTAAATGTTGCTAGAGCCCTTAGATTTCAAGCAAATTTGCCTATAAAATTTGGGGGGGGTGTGTGTGCAAGCGGCATGTCATTTAATTAATAGAACTCTCTCTAGATTGCTTAATTATATGACTCCTTGTGAAATTTTATTTGGCAAAACACCTTCATATGAGTATATTCGGGTGTTTGGGTGCTTGTGCTATGCATATAATTTGAAGAGTAAGGGTGATAAATTTGCAAGTCGTATTAGGAGGTGTGTGTTTCTCGGATATCCTTTCGGGAAAAAGGGATGGAAGGTGTACGACTTGGAAACTTGTGAAATTTTTGTGT